ATTTCGAGGTACTGGGGTATAAACCGCATGCGAGTATCGCGATGAAGATGAGTGTGTAGGATATATATGATGTATGATGAATGTAGGAGTATGTCTGCACTACATGCTTTTACACCAATACTGTACGTTTGCACGCTTGTCATACACATTCTAACATGCAGTCACGCTATGAACGCTACAAATCCAACGTAAATACATCATATGTATGGAAAAGAGGAAAAGTCATCTCAACCATCCCCACAATCACCAGAATCCCCTTTTTATCCCCACCAACCCCATCCCCCTACGAAGGCATCTCCTGCGGCTCACTCCTCGGCCCATGATTATGCGCATACTTCGTACTAGCCGGCAACTCACTCCTTACAGTATCCGAATCAGGCGCATCCACATACTGCGCATCCACATGCTGCGCGTCCACATACTGCGGTGGCACAGCACCATACATGCTCTCTCTATTATACGGGCTCTTTTCTCCATTAGCAAGCTTAGTCGCCTTCCTCTTGCGCCACCAGAAGGCTGCAAAGCCGATCAGCGCGAGAGCAACGAGGCCGCCGATTACAGGGCCTGCTATCCATGCTTTGCTGGGGGAGGAGGAGTCGTTGTTGTCTTTAGTAGCTCCAGATGATGAGGAGGGCGACGAAGAAGGAATTTCCTCATCGAGAAGAACGGCGTACGTAGCGCCTGGCTGCTCGCTAATAACACTGGTTGTGTTTTGGAGGTAGCAGTTGTTGAATCCGCCCTTCAATGTCGAGTCGAAGAGAATGGCTTTACACCCCACGTTCTCCTCCGCACAGGCATCCATACAAGCCGTAATATTCTGCATATGCAAACTCGTGATATTAGTCCCCGGATTCAACCTCCCACAGTGAACCTCAAAGCCCTTAGCATCCGGCGTGCCCGCCGCCGCGGTATACGATTCCCGGTCTGGACATTTCGTATCGATCTGGTCAATCTGCGTCATGACTGCTGAGTGAAAGAGGATCGGTCCAGCGCCTACGTCCAGGCTATCTGTGTATCCAGAATCGTCGCCCGTCTTGAGAATGCAATTTGCAAACCCGATCACCATAGTGGGATTCCAAGACACAGCTGTGCAGAGCGGTTGCTGATCGACGCATATTTGCATGCATTCATCGAGGGATTCGGCGTGGTGGAACCATTGATAGTTGCCCTCGAGATGTGGATACCCGTCAAAGTCTGCTACGTTTGCCTTGATCATCTGCCCGCAGTGAGTGGTATATTGCATGCCGTGGACGCCGGGGAGGGTGTTGGTAGAAAGATCTGTATGCGGACATGTTTCGTCGAAGCCTTCCATTTCGCTCCTCTCGATGAGGGCAGTGTACCGGTGGGGGTTTGGTTCGAGGAGATCGACGGTCGCGCTGCTGTTCTTCATGTAGCAGATGTTGTCAGGATCGACCCAGAGTACGCCGAAACATCCTCCGCCGGGGCCCCAGAACCGTGAGCAGTGTTCTATGCATTCTGCGAAGCTGTCTAGTTGAATGGCTTCGGTTGGCGCGTCTGATGTCTATTAATGATGATCCTTCTTGGAGGATATCGCGTGATCTGCTGCTCACCATTATTGCGTATGTTTTGATCACAGTATGTGGTGTAGTTGGCGCCGTTCAGTGTCGTAAATGGGCTGCCGCATCTCGCAGGAGTATATTGCCGTGCTTCGAGGGCGCGATTAGATACATATTCTGCTAGACCTGCTCTTGTATCAGTGAGCGTCTTGTTTACTACCACCCCATCTCCACACTTGCAAACATACTTGTAGGTGAAGCAAACGTCGTAGTCGCTAGCATCAGAGCTAGTGAACTCCACATCCTCACGTCCAGCATACTAGTATATCCCATAGTCGAAGACTCGTGCTTGTACAACAGTAGGAAACGCGACAATACGAGATCCGGGGATCGTGAGTATACGATACAAGGTTAATACCAGGTTGAACCAAGTTGTACCGATCAGGCACGTTGCCAATAGTAAGCCATGGGGCGAAGTACAGCGGTTATTGAAATTGCAACTAAGGCCTCCAATACATGGCATCATGATGGGGGCCAGAAAGTCTTCCTGTAAGACAATGCACCTCATGTTAGAGGTGGGATTCCGTTGAATCCTACGACATGGCTTGAGGGCGCAGCGTCCGCGGGCATCTCGAATCATCGGGTGGTTGGGATTCGCCAGGATCATGAGTGGTGTCGACGAGAATGACGGCGTTGTGCTTGGTCAACGCATTGTTAGGCGGGTGACGATGACCCTTGAGATGCAGGGCGTTTGCAGGGATTGGGGAGTATGATCCACTTTGGCGTATGAACGCACCAATGGCGGATGGCTTCGTCGACGAGCTAGAGAAGGCGCACTGCGCCTTGCAGAGAACAACAACTGCGCACAAATGTTGATGTACGAAGTCGTCATGTCTCACACGCAGTGCTTATCTGGGGGGATTCTAGGTATTGTTGTATGTTTTCTGCTCACGTGTTGAAACCTTTACAAATACGCTCTTATCGGACTAGCCTTTTGGTGTTGCATGTGCACAGCTTCAAATCCTCGGTTCTTGCACAACAAAGGGCTGTAGTAATAGATTGCTTGTAAAAGTAGTAGAGCTTCTACTCGCTAACAAATGCAACGAACAAGGCGACAGACTTTGCGGAACGACTGTTAAACTAATTTCCACTGTAGTAGGATACCACAGTTCTAAACGTATTCGTAATCGTCTCCAAAGTGTGAGTATGACAACCTTGCGGCACCTTCACACCGTCAAAGCGATCCTTAATCCAAGCAAGATAGTCATGAACTGTGACCATCGAGGCACCCAAGTGATCGACCTCTGGGTACAAAAGTAGCGAAACACGAGACTCTGGGTAAGCGCTGCAAGTACGGTTGAAGTCACTCCTGGTGTTGACTGCGTACACCAAAGCGTCGGCGGTGCCCTGAACAACAAGCATGGGTGCAGCGAGAGCGTAAGGGCCAGCGCCATTGTAACGCTTTTGCCAGTCGACAACATCTGGATGCTCGTACCAAGTAACCTTCTTGAACATCTGCGCGCTGGTGAAGTTGCCGTATAATGCGTTCGCAACAAGAATGCAACCTTGATCCAAGAGTGGAATGAGATCGAGAGCGGCATCTGTAAGGTATTCTTCGAGATGGAAGGTGTTGGGAAGGAGCAGTGCAAGCGATTGCAGAAGTAAGATGGCATTGGCACCACCGAACGGCCCACCGTTGGCTCGTCGGATAGACTCAGGGAAGAGGTCAAGAGGACGGAGCGCAGGGGAAGCGGCGACAGAGCCTAAGAACTTTCCTGCCTTCAGCAGCTCTTCTTGATGGGGCATCGCAAGCCGCTCGTTGGTTCTCCAAGCTGACATGCCACCTTCACTGTGGCCGACAACTACATATTCCTTAGAGAGCAAGTCGCCGAGAACCTTGCGGGCAGCAATTAATCCGTATACGGCATCAGCTGCGTGCAAGAAGCCCGCCTCGTACATGAATCCTTGAGGAATATCTGAACCTTGACCCGAATAGTCGGGCGCAATGACAGCATACCCAGCAAGAGCAAGAGCATACGGCCCTCTCCATTCATAGTGCAAGTCTTTGTTGTTGGAGGGTGCACAGTTGCGAATTCTACCAGCTGTGCCGTGGGTCCAGACTATGGTATTCAGTAGTTCGTTCCGGTTTGGCTTGCTGTACGGCAACAGCACGAATCCAGTAGCCGGAATAGGGTTTCGTTCAATATCTTCGGTCATGTACATGAAGCGCGCAAGAGACATGCCGGTTGGTGCTGTGAATTTCGTGTTGCTGTCGTTGCGTGAGACTGGTTGCCATCGCAGTAGGGCGCCTGGCTTTGCTCCAGTGGTGTTAGCCGGGGTGGTGTAACATTCGTCTAGCGTTACGTTCTTCGACACCCATCCTGAGGACTCGCGGAGGAGGGCTTCTTTAAATCCTGTCTGGCAAGCCGAGTCGCATGACTCTTGTGCGCGGCTGGCTCCAAGGAGGAAAGCTATGAGATGAGTATAAGATAGTCTCATGTTGAAGAATGGAAAAGTGGAAGGAATGACTTTGCTGATGCCCAGGTGGCATTAGAGGCTACATCAGGGCCCTATATAATATTTCGATTGATACAGCATCGATATCGACGCGCGATATGCCGACCATACTGAGGTCAGGTGCAAGTATGCACTAGACACGAAGTGCCGGCGGTACTTCTTGTTTGATCTAGCGGGATGCATGACATTGCGCAAGCAAAGAACAGCCGAGAGACGCTCCCGGATAACGTCGTTCTTAGCCCTCTTCCGATGCAGCAAACTCGATCTAAAAGGTCGATGTACGAAGTTAGTGTATGTCTCGCGCGCAGTTCGTACATACATAGGAGGTTTGACCCTTGCCAGATACCCCATATTTCGGACCAGATGTTTCACTATGCTCTATTACTGGTAGTCTCGCCACCAATGCGGCTGGAATTTTACGTATAATGTATACGCAGTATACGCAAGTTGAATGCTCAGCCAGGTTCGGACTGTGAAGGCACCGGCTGAAGAACTAATGTGTTTGTGCCTACCTGGGTACGAAACAATGGAGTGTGCCTTTGTCTCAGACTGTGGTCTGATCCTGATGCGTGCATACGACGCAATGGCACTTCTATCCCAGTAACGCACCGCCCCTGCGCGACTTTGAAAGAAGAGACTTGACAAGAAACCATCGGCCTTGACCACAAGCGAGCGTATACGACGGCCATGAGGTCACGTAGAGACGTGCAAGCTCTGGAAGAACTCGTCTACTACAGAAAACTTCTCTCAGATAGCGACGTTAAGAGATCATCAGCACCATGTAACGTAGCGGACCTTCGAGGTCGTAACGACTTTGCTACGACGCGTGTACACAACAGCACAGTGCATAGGTGTGCACCACTGGCTCGGGCGTGCTTCGTGCCGTGACAACGCATCGTTGCCTACCTGGGTAGCGCCATTAGACGTCGCTCGGAAAGAAGCAAAACTTCCAGCAGTATTGATTGTTCACGAATACTCCTCTTCATCAAAATCACCAAAGATCCAATGCTCTTCGAGCCTCGCTCGTTCTTCGTTCGACTCAGCTAACTCAAGCGCAGCCGCCTTGAGCTTTCGTTCACGTTGTCTAGTCTCTTCGTACTGCTCTAAGGGTACCCATCCCTCCGGGCCGATGCCAACAGCATCCCTACAAGCCTGGAGCTGCTCGTCGGCTTCAACCTGCGCAGCATGCAGACGCTTACACTCGGCTACCTCGTGTTCTGTGAAAGAAATCGGGCAAGGAACCTTCGAATCGCCTCTTGCGCTCGATTCTGGGGCGGTAATACTCGACCAGTTCTCCGTTAGATAGATGAGATCAGCTTTCAGTGTCACATTATCGCCTTCCCAGGGTTCGCTCGCGTGATCAAAGAGTTTTCGTCTTATTATACTGAAGTCGTGGGCTAGGGCGTTGTAATGAATCGGGTTTAGTTGTGCAGTCTTTGCAATATAGTAGTAGTGGAGTTGACGCCGGCGTAGGAGCACGGCCTGCTCGAATTGTTCCCTCTCGCTTAAGTCGTCAAAATTGGGTGGTAATTCTGGCACTTCAAGCGATTCTGAAATGGCGTCACCGTAATTCTGGAGGCTATTTGGGATACCGCACTGCAGGAAGAGCGGGAGTATTGCGCAGTGTTGCCAGTCAATTAGACTAGTGATTTCAAGTTTATCCGAGACAATTACATTGTTTGGTTGGAGATCGGGATGTCGTAGTGTCGGCCGGGCAAGAGCTTCGTTGTCATGCGGAATGAGATAAGACGCAATTTGCAAGTATCTCTCCAGGCTGACAAGATGATCCAAGGGCGATTGCTTTTGATAGTTGTAGATTTCTCGCCGTAGATGTTGGAAGGGGTGAAGCGGTCGACCGAACTTCGTCAGATATGCGATTTCTTTCTTGGCCCCAGCAATAAGTGCCGATGTTGGATCTCTATCTTTGGAATAATTAGTTGAGATGGCTTGTAGCAGATGGTCAACAAAACGTGGATCTGGCTGTGTAAGTGGAAGAGCTAGCACGTACGTGGTCCGCGATAAATCTGGAGATCGCCCCGTTTCCCATACCACATGCGGAGCCTTGTGTCAGGACCAATGCAAAAGTCGCCATCGCGGGCAGATTTGGCGATAGGACCCTCGAATTTATCGAATCCAGCTGGCAAGTCCTTGGTGTGATACAGACTACCGCTTGCCTGAAACTCAAGATCAAACAATTGAGACTCCAGCTCCACGAGTTTAGTGACGACGGCAATCCGAGCCTTTTCAGACAGGTCAAACCAAACGTCACCCAAGTTCGTGCCCCGGATATACTCCATGAAGATGTATTCGGTACCAGCTGCGTTCTCCGAGGTAGCTGAGTAGCTGTAGACCTTGGGGACAGGTATACCGTGTAAACGGAGAAAATCCATCGTCGCGACTTCGCTGGCTACGACCAGGTGCTTCGGCTCTGTAACCAGGTAAGGAATGCGTCCAACAAACTGGAAGCCGTCACGCATCGTGATCAGAAAGGTTCGATTGAAACCCCCTTCAGCTAGTTTTTCGAAGGAAGTCACGTCTTCTACGTTCTGATTGACAGCTGCAGCCGCGAAGCGCTTGAACTCCGATACATCAAAGACGCGTCTTCGTTCAGAGTGCTTCGAGGCGTCATTCCAACTTCATTCCATAGTCAATATGAGCCATGGCTGTGGTGGAAGGGTTTGACAAACATCCATCGCCCTGATGTATATTCGAATAGCTCAGCGGGTTCGTTCGTTGAATAGTAAGCCAAAGAACGAGTCGATCTTGAGCCGAAACTTCCGGCTCTCGAGGTTTGTACCGTCCGTGGAAAAAGACGACAGAAGCCATCGGTGAATAAGCGACCACTGGAGTTCCGATAACACGCCATAACACAATCGCGCAGTGGAATAGTGTAGCGCAGGGGCAAGGATTCGGTCGCTGCAGCGGATGCGGATCAACTCAACCGGAACGCTTGGACTACTTGGCATGCACTAACACCGATAGCGCAGAAATCCCAACGAACGGGATCTAGGAGATGAAAAGAGGAGGTTGGAAAGTGAGGAATCTACGCGCCCTCACGCGAGACGGGACTGAAGGATTTCGTTGTGCTTACGCTCATCTCTACCTGCGTGTTGCCCTTGCGCGAAGTTGCATCGAGCAGCTAGTAGATATCGGCACCGTACAGTGAAACCTCTGCGGCATTCCCTGGAGTCATTTTGCGGTCGTAAAACATCGTGGAAATGTGATCGTGGGTCGGTGGTTGTCGCAACTTCAGAGCGCCTTCCAAACCACGCTTTGAAGGATCGGTAAGCAAAAAGCCTCGGCAGGGCGTAACAAGGCTGAGCGCAGGGTCATGTTATTTTCGCCCTGCAGGATCTCACCACCACGAGGGTGCGGCAGGCTTGTGCCGTGATCTTGCTGTGTAGTCTATGTCCAGTGCCTTGGGTGTGCAGATCGTTGGTGTTAGGCCGGGCAATAGCTTCACGTGTGTCAAGCCTTGAACCTGGAAGCCTGCCGGGCATCACCAGCTTCAACGAAATATTGCGCGATCACTTCGCTCGAGATAGGGTAGTGATGGAAAGAAGTATTGCATTACCACGCTGTCTTCATCAACAGCGAGTTGGTATCTAATGCATCCCAAACGCCAGCCATGATTTTTCCCACCTGCAAACACGCAATGCAAGAACGCATAAGACCCCAGCCCGCTTAACGGTGACTGGTCTTTCCGATACCACGCTTTCCTGCAGTCTAGATAACTGTTAGCAATTGTGCTGAAAGGTAGATGGTTCGGAAGCAAACTTACCAAATGCTTGATCAAAGAACCAGTCTGGTGCCTATCGGCCTCACCCTGCCTGGCCATCCTGTTCATCTTCTGCTGCGACAACTTCTGCAGCCTCTCAGCCTTGGAAGCGGCAACCTCATTCGTAACACCATCGTTCCTCCTGTTGGTGCTCTGGCTGCGGCCTCGGCTCTTGGCACGTGCAAGCATAGCAGCACCAGGCGTATCGACCTCCATAGCATCGCCACCAGGAGCCTCTGATCTTCCACGAGCCAAGCTGCGGCCTCGCGCCTCTGCCTTTGCAGTCGTACGCTCGACAGCCGCTGAGGGATCGTAGCCGAGACTCTCCAGATGTGTCTCCATCTTTGACATTTGCATAGCCTTCTTGGTCCTGGGAATGACGGCCCTGTTCTTGAGACTCTTGCGCATCTTGGCCTCGTTCCGGATGAGTTGCCTCTTCTCACGAATGAGCTCTGCCTTGTACCTGATGTCCGCTTCCTCTGCGTCTTCAAGGTCGTCGTCGGAATCGTAAAAGCCCTCACCCTCCAGCTTCTCCTCCTCAGCTTCGAGCGCAGCAAGCTTGGCCTCGATGTCAGGGTCGATGAAGTCGTAGACGTTCTGGCCCTTGAAGACCTCAGGAATGCGGTCGTGTTTCCACTCGTCGTTCTCGAGCATGTAGTTCTTGCGAAGATCGATGTTGTACACACCAGCGCCACCGTCTGCCTCTTCCAAATCACGCTCCAGGAGCGGCCTGTCAGGGTCTTCCTTGTCGTACTTCTTCTTGTTGAGTACAGCCTCTGGGATGGAGGTCTCGCGAGTAACGCCGCCCAACGGCTGGGCAACGTGAATACGGCGAAGCAGCTCACCGAGACGACCAGAAGGCTCACCGGCGCTGTTGGTACCGGCCTTGAGCTTCTCAGCGTTACGGGCAGCGATCAAGCGATCGCAGACTGAGTTTCGCACAGCCATGACACCCTCAGTCGTGTTGCAAGAGAGCTCGAGCATCTCAACTTCGCCGGACTTGAGCATACCCTGTAGCTGTTCCTGGGTCTCGGGGTCGAGCTGGTTCGGGCGCATAAGATCGATCTTGTTGATGACGATGGAGATCAGCTTGTTGGCGAACAAAGGCTTGATGTTGTTGAAAAGAGCGATTTGCGAGGCAACGGAGTAACCGCACTGCTCGCTGAGATCCATGAAGTAAAGAATGTGGGCGCGGAGATGGGCAATAGCGCAGATCGACTGATGTTCGATAGTGTTCATGTCCTCGAGTGCGTGGTCCAGGATACCGGGAGTATCGACGGCCTGGAACCGGAGCATCTTGTAGTCGAAATGTCCGACATACAGACTCTTGGTGGTGAAGGCGTAGGGCTGGACCTCGACATCGGCCCTTGAGATGGACTTCAAGAATGAAGACTTGCCGACGTTGGGAAAGCCGGAAATGACGAGTGTGCGGGTGTTGGGGTCAATGGACGGAAGACGACCCAAATGCTGCCTGACCTGCTCGAGGTAGACGAGAGGGTCCTTTAACCTCTTGCAGATGGTGGCCATGCGACCCAGCGCCGCCCTCTTCAGCTGCTTGCACTGGAAGAGAGATTGTCCGTACTTGAGAAGACGGACATAGTCGCGCGCAACCGTCTCGATCAGCGACTTTGCGGTCGAAAGCTGACCAAGCGCAATTCTGAAGTGATCCGCATCGTATAGGGTGTTGAGCAGATCGCGGTGGAACGGGTGGATGTCGGCAAGGCGCGGGAAAGCCTCGATGGTGGTGGAGAGGCGCTCGGTAAAGGTTTCGGAGGTGTACTTGACTTTTCGCGTGTAGAAGGCTCGAATTCTGCTGATCTTGAATCCAGCACGAATCTGTGTCGGCAATCTGGGTTGCAGTCAGCTTTGTCATCCTCTATGCGATATGCATTGCGCCTGCGAAGTCGCAAAGCGCCGGGTGGTAGAGGGAAGGCGCTTTGCGCAATTGTGTCGAGGAAGGCACCTACCTCCTCTGGGTCCTGGAAAGCACGATGTCCAGAAACTCCTGGCTCGTAGGCACAGCGGGGATATCCTTCCACTGGGTCTTCATTCTGGCGATTGCGGTATGTTGATGTCGAGTAGAGCCGTCTGCGCGTTGGAGAGACTTCAGGGCAAAAAAGTTCACGACGCTATCGATACCGGTGGGGAAAATAGTTCGCCTCGCCGCCGCGCTAGTCCCGCATCCAATGCTAGCGTCGTTTGTCCGGGCAGTTGCACCCATTCATCACGCGCCTGACAACACCGTAGCCCACATTTCCACTACTATGTTCTCGAAATCACACAGTACGTCCGAGCCGCAGGACTCGGCACTTTTGCCTAGTCAACATAACAGCACTGCCCTTATGGTAACTTACAACTATGAACATATGTATACTTCGGCGCAACTAGTATTGACCGCCGGCCTGTTCCCAGGGCAGTAACATCTGGAGCGGCTGATGGCGCGAGCGATGCCTTCCGCGTCGAAGTGTCCAGCTTCTCTTTCTGTTTCTACCATCTCGATCATGTTCAGATGAATTCATGATGAACACCACGGTGAAAGAAGCTGTCGCCCGCTGCCAGTTACCAAGCTGCGCGTGGCTCTCTTCAACTAATCTGACAAACCTCACCAATGTGCCACCTCTCTTGCCAGATTCGGATCTTTCGGGCATCGGAGTGAGTATCAAGACTTAATCTATTATCACTTCGCCTAACTCCGGTACGATAGGTCATCTTGGGTTTCTCGATCTCAGCATACCTCACATTACTCCTACTCATCATCCACTACATCACTGTCCACAACGTCCACCAAACAAAGAGCACAGCAAACATCCGCGTCAATGCAGTCGACCATCGATTCCTCACTTTTATACGCTCACGTATCTTCTCATGGACCCCCAGCCGACGCTTCCAGTACGCCGTTGAAAAGTCCGTCCTCATCCTTAGCGACCTGAACCTAGTCACTGGCACCGCGATCCTCGTCGCCGGCTACTCGCAGTTGAGATGTGGTATCTCAGCATATCATTGGCAAATGATGGTCTTCATTTCGTGGTTTGCCAGTTTCGCTTTCGTGTCTGCTACGGCCTTTCTCGAAGGCTGCTCTCAGACCAACAAAAATATGCGGCTTGTCAGACTGGTCTTTATGGTTCTCCTTGCTTCTTTGTTGATTGCTGCTTTGCTTCCGACGGGGTCTAGGATGTGGCTCAATGGGTATCCTGATGATGGTGAGGGGTTCTATCCTAGTTTGAGCGCTGTTTGCTTCTACAAAGAGCTTGGTATGCGGTCGTTCTTGCGACGAGGTCCCAAGATCTGGTCTATGATCTTCTCGGTGGTTATCGTTGGTGTGTCTTTTGTTCGGTGTGGTATACAACTACTTGACCGAGATGGAGATGTGTCCCGCACATGCCTTCGGACCTTACCTGGAACGAAGTTCAAGCAGTTCCTCAGCTTCCTGGAGAGGAAGACACTACCTCCTACGATTGAGGCCTACGTCTGGCACCTACCATACCTACTCTCATATGCTGGCTTCGTAACCGTCCGGGTCTCCTACGATGTCTTCGAGTCAATGCTATTGGAGATCCTCTGGTTGGCATTTGCAATGGCATGGGGAACCATCAAAGTCTGGGATACACGCGCCGCAGCCTCATGGAACTATGACGGCTACAACTTTACTCTCAACCAGAAAATTTCTGAGGAGAATTCCTGGGGGTTTGGCCAGACTTTACCGTTAATCCTGCTTCTACTACCACTTCTCTCAATGGCCCAGGCGTACCTTGATGACGACGCAAAGGCTCAAGAGACCCTGCGAACGGATGAGGACACATCCTCCCCGCCTGGAACGGCGGCGACCCAAGAGATGGAGGATCCGAGCGCTGTAGACCCAGACCCGTTCGTGCCTCAGAACTGTAATCGGCTTGTCAACCTTCCAACATACCCCTACGAGAGCTTCGCCTCACACGACTGGTATCACGATCACCTGGTCCTCCTGGTCTCACAGATCATCATGATCAGCACCGTCGCGCTTTTCTTTCTCACGCGCTTAGCAGACATCTTCGGCATCTCCTCCATCCTACGTAGTAGGCTCTTCGTTATCTGGATCCTAGCTATCTTACCGCTGGCGTCGTTCATTCACCTGGCAGCATGGTATCTTGCAGCTTTAGTGGTCGGTAAGTGGCCTGGTGTAGGGAGACGGTTGTCCAGAGAGAACGGAGAGGAGAGAGAACAGACCAGGAGAGGGCAAGTGGTGCACTGGATATGGCGAGCGGGACTCATAGCAGGGTGCTTACTGTTCACGTTCTTTGTCAGTTTGGAGTCGGCCGGCCCGAACTCGCTGTTCTCGTATCTGAGATGAACTCAGGTAATGCTATATCAGGTTCATTCAATTAAATCGGTATCTCTATCGTACTACCCACTCAATCTTGAAGCTTCAGTCTAGAACCTGGTAATGAGCATCTACCGGATTCTTCCCATTAATCGTAAGAACATCCTGTGGACACGCACTCATCACCACAACTACATCCCTAAGTGCCTCGAGCACCACATAGTCTCCTGCCTTCGTCTTCGGCTCTTCGAAGCTAATGCCTCTCTGCGCTCCCTCACCTTCCTGCGTGATAGGAATGTTCATAAACAAATTGAACGGATCCGGGACTCTGCACCCCATCTTCGCTTGCAGGTCTTCAATCCCTTCCTTCTCCTCAGCCGAGAGAGACGAAGATGAGCTCAGCGCGTGTAAAGCATCCCAGAAGTTGTCTGTGCAAGACTCATGGTATCCATTCACGCCCAGCTCACTATACCGCCACCGATCACACGCCGCGACCAAAGTGTCGTGTACACCTGGACTTGTATCTTCCACCAGCTTGACCATCGGTGCCCTCTTCTGACTGACCATTACATCACCCACTGCAGGCGTCACTTTCAAGAGCGTTGCCCGGCAGTGGCACATGGACATGTATTCGGGGGCGCTGGCAGCGGCATTCGCAGTAGCAGAGTACTTGGACGGCGAGTCTGCGGTCGCGTTTGGGTAGAGTGCTGCTTCGACTTTGGAGGACGCGGTAGAAAGGCCGGAGGAAGGAAGTGCGAGCGCCCAGGTATCGACAACTTGGTTTCCGTACGTGTTTGTTATCTTTATCTTCTGCCCGGCTTTGACGAGGGTGGCTGCTCCGCGGCGGGCGGGGACGGTTTGGAGGGAGGTCATGGTGGGGAGTTGTGGGATGCTGTAGTCTGTAGTCTATGAAAGTCGATATGTGAGTATGCAATAGACCCAAGCTGCTACTTGGGGGCAGGTGAGGTATGCCATCATTTGTATATGCATACCCCACTTGTGCTGTCGCGTCAGGTCGTGGGACGGGAAGATAGGGAGATAGGAAGACCGCGTCCGAAGCCTATGTCATCCTTCGAGCATAGACTAGCGCAAGAATGGTGAAGTCTTTGTAGTCGCCAACGACAGCTCTGGGTCGTGTCTACAGTGTAGCGATCGAGTTCAGGCGCGCGAAGTGTGCGCGTAGCACCGAGTCGCAACCATGGTTCTGGCCTCGGGGGCGTCTCTTAACCACGAATGTGGTTTAGACGAAAACCTATATAAGCAAGACAGAATTGAGCGCAAAATATTAATCGAGAGTCGTTTGGTGAAAGCGAAAGTAGAAATTGAAGTTGCGACATCGAGGTACCACCTGCACCTGCAATCGCGCGTATCACGTGTCAAGAACGCGGCTTCCTGGAAACGACACCCTAGCATTCCCGAGCGCCGCAACCCAAATTATCCCCACCACAGCTCGACTCCTTTACCGCCAACCCGCACCATTCCTACCCACTCCCACCATGGCTGCCCTCGCCACCAAGACCGAGTCGCAGAACATCTTTACCAAATTGAAGTCGAAGCCCGCGAACAAGGTACGTCTTGCAAGTAGACACATACTCGGTCAATGCCTAACACATCCCTAGATATGCTTCGACTGCGGCGCAAAGAACCCAACATGGAGTTCCGTACCCTTTGGCATCTACCTGTGTCTCGACTGCTCGTCCAACCATCGTAACATGGGTGTCCACATCTCCTTCGTACGGTCCACCAACCTCGACAGTACGTTTACTCCGTCATGGCTCTACAATACGCATACTGATTGAGGGTAGTCTGGCAATGGGATCAATTACGAATCATGAAAGTGGGCGGCAACGAAAGCGCCACCAAGTACTTCCAGTCGCACGGAGGCTCTGCTGCGCTCGCGAGTAAAGACCACAAGGCCAAATACACCAGCAATGCCGCCACCAAGTACAAGGAGGAACTGACCAGGCGCTGCGCCGCGGACGCCAAGATGTAAGAACCAATTCTCTTACATGGTAAGCTGGGCTAATCCGATCCTACCAGGTACCCCAACGAGGTTGTTATCACAGATGTACCCGAAGTTGGCACCGACGGCACCAACACGCCAGCCAACGACGAAGACGACTTCTTCTCCTCATGGGACAAGCCCGCCATCAAGCGCCCGTCGAACCCACCCTCGCGTACCGGTACACCCAAGATTGGAGGATCACCCTTCCTGAAGCCTGGCGCCAACGGCAATGGAACAGACCGCCCCAAGTCGCCACTAGTTGGTGGTGAATCGAGCACACCCGCTGCAAAGCCCGCTGCCGTACGAAAGACGACCGCAGGCGCTGCGCCGAAGAAGAACATTCTGGGAGCCAAGAAGAAGGGCCTTGGAGCAAAGAAGGTGGTTGCCGCAGATGGAGGCCTAGACTTTGAGGAAGCAGAGCGAAAGGCCCGTGAAGAGGCTGAGCGCATCGAGAAGTTGGGCTACGATCCCGAAGCCGAAGCCGCTGAGGCCGCAGCGGCCACCAAGTCGAAAGCCCCCGAAGCATCCGCCATTGTCTCCCCGACCCCCGTATCACCGCCACGAGGCGGTTTCGGTTCCACTTCCAAGACCGAGCGTTCTAGCCAGGATATGGAGAGGTTAGGCATGGGTGTACAACGTCTAGGCTTTGGACAGGTGGGTGCAGCGAAGAAGGCTGCACCGCAGAAGAAGATGGGTGGCTTCGGCAGTGTAGGCAAGCCTGCGCAGGATGACGGCGAGAAGTACGCGCGAGACAAGTTTGGCACACAAAAGGGCATCTCAAGTGACGAGTTCTTTGGACGCAACGCATTCGATCCTACTGCCACCGCGCAGGCCAAGGAGAGATTATCAGGTATGCAGCATACGTGAAAGCATTTGCGTCCAACTATCTAACTTGCTATGTAGGCTTCGAAGGCGCGAGCGCTATTTCCTCCAACGCATACTTTGGCCGACCTGAAGACGAAGTCGGCGACGAAGACTACGGCGACCTCGAAACCGCCGCCAAGGACTTTGTCCGCAAGTTCGGTCTTACCGCTGGCGACGATCTCGAGAACCTAACGAACATGCTCGGCGAGGGTGCGACGAAACTGCAAGGCGCTGTCCGGAACTACCTCAACTCGTAGGATGACTTTGTGGATGATGTTAGGGCCGAATACGATGGGCGTGCGGCCGTGTACTGAACATAACGATCCGGTATACGGAGAGCAGGGCGCATCACCATGTGCAAAGCTTGTCGCAGATGTCGAACAACAGGTGTGGGCGCTTGGTGCATTGCATGGAGCGGGCAGATGAAAGACCATGAAGCGTGGAGTTGGCCGTACATTTCTATTGCGCTGGAGACGTGGGCTTGGGAATGGGTGTTTGGGAGTATAGACAAACGCAACTAAGAGTCCCTTCAATTCAACCTCGTAATCTCATTCCTAGCATTATCTAATGTGTAACTGAACGCCAGACATGAGCATCTAAACAATGAAGTGAGCAAACATGTCCAAATCCAACACAAACACCAATATCCCCATCCACCCCTCCGCATATCCAACCAATCAATCCTCCCTATCCCCCCAAACATCAGCCTCCTCCCTCGCCACAGCATCCAAATCAATCATCCCCTTCCCCCCGCCACTTCCTCCTTCGTCGTCACCTTCTTCCTCACTACTACTCTCCTGCCCCCTTGCCTCTTCCCTGCTCATAGACCCCCACCCCGCATCTTCATCCTCGTCGTCTTGCGGAAAAGCAGGGGACACAGGGACGAAGTCGTCCATGAGGTTACTCGGGAGACCGGCGGGTGCGGGGCGCGGATGCGAGGATGAGGGTGGGGAGGGGGAGAGGGGCATCATTGCCATTTCTGGGTGGTTGGATAGTGGTGGTGTGGAAGGGCGGTTTGGGGGCGTGGTTGCAGCGTGACGGGAAGAGGACGGTTCGGCTTGGGGAGGTGGATGTGGAGAATGAGAGATGTGGGGTTTGTTGCCTTCTTTTGAAGAAGGTCGGGGGTCTTCTGTTTTCCTCATCTCCTGCCTCGGTGTCGTCTTGACAGCAGGAGAAGTATCGACTTGTTGTGTAGGCGGCAACTTGGCATGATGCTCCTGCTGCTGTTGCTGCGAGAATGGGAAGATGGAAAAGAGGCTTTGACTCAGACTGTGTCTATTCGGTCCGCTGGGTCTTTGTTCTTGTCGCAGTGCTTCTTCCCTGGTTCGGGGTACGTTGGGTGGCGGATGCGATGCGGAGTGTGAGTGCGAAGGAGCCTTTCTGTTGGACACTGGACTGGGCGGTTTCGCAATTGTGGCTTCTGGCAAGGAGGCTTCGCACATTTCGCAGGCTGTCAAGGCGGGATCGTTGAGGAAGGTGCAGCGTGGGCATTGCTTTTTGAGGTCGGGTGTCGAAGGACGGTGGGATGGGGCGAGTTCCTGGGGTGGTTGTGCCTGTGGTCGGGGAGGTTGGCGTGGAGGTGCTGGCTCGTTCTGGGTTGGCATTTGGTAGCCTGGACTGTATCTCTGCGCCGTTCTTGAATTTGCTGGCGCTGTGTCCCGTTGTCGGCTGGTAGACGATGTGCCTGCGCTCGCTCCAGCGTTTGGATTCGGGTCCACTGATATCACTACCTGTACGTCTCGCTTCGTACCACACTTCATACACTGACACTGCCGTACAACGCTCTTCGTATACGTATCTGTGACCTCGGTCGGTGCATCGAACCGGATCTCGAACTTTCCTGGCTCACCGAAGCCTGGCGTATTTCTGTCGTTTCCTCTCCCTTTCGCATTTGCATAACCTGCTCCTTTCGCCACGATTGGTATAATAGGGTCAACCGCTCCAAAGATGAGATGGTCCACAAAGGGAATCAACATTAACCTCCCACTGTTCTTGATGTGGTGATCAATTTCCGGACGGAGTTGGAACGAGTCGATAGACTGTAGAACGCGGAAGTACTTGTTGAACATGTCGCCGTACCATTGGCGTGCCTGAACACCCTGCTGCAACAGATCTTTCGCGATATTCCGCGGTGCAGGACTTGGCCAAAGTGCGTCGATCAAATGCTTCTCTTTCAGCGCCTTCCTCACCATCAAGTCTAATCTCGCGCATTCATATAGTCTCTTCTCCAGTCTTTCGTGCAACTCGTACTTTGCGAATCGAATAACCAAGCCTCTTACGAATCCGGCATCGAGGTTCCATTTTCTTGTAAAGTAGTCTAGAGATTCCAGATCTTTCTGCGCCTGCGCGTTTGCGGGCCGGACGACAAGCGGTGAGAGTTCATGGCCCATGGAAATCCATCGTTCGGTTTGTCTTGGGAAGGCAGTTGCTGTAGACCAAAATGAGCGAATGGGGTAGTACTCGGCTTTGAAGTAGTTGTAGACGAAGTCTAGGAAGTCGGCTTCTGTGAGCGGCATTGCTGCGTGGCCGCGTGGGATGTCCATGGTGGATGATGATTGTGGGTGGCGAGACGCGTAGAGGTCACAATCTTGGAAGGTAATCAAAGGATCATACGTGACGGGAGATGAAGACTTTGGCCGTAGATGTGAAGGTAGTTGAAGCGCTGTCGTGCTCTAGTGGCCTGAGCTATGCGGAATGTTGCTGCCTGGATGGAGTGAAAGATTACGCATACAGGGACAAGGTAGGAATTAACAAAAGTGACGATGCCTATTTGAAGCTGCGCCACAGCATGTGATGTGTTAGAAGCGCTTGGAAGTCCGATCCATGGATTGCTCTGCTTGTTCTTGTGACTGGGTTGCTGGACACGCACGTCATTGTGTGGCGGTGGCTGTGCTCGCACCTTCCGCGTCGGACCTGAGCGCCCTCTTTCTCGGCATTCCAGAACTCCACAACTCCACAACAACACGCTCGTCCCATTTTCGCAACACGCCATCGACACCCATAAAGATGGGGTATCAATGCGCACTCACCTGGCGTCGGTATTTCCGTCTCTGGGGAAGAACGGGATACTGCGCAGATGCTTAGCTGGCGGGAACAACGAGATCGGGCTTTCGACGCAACCCGGAAAGGATTACGGAGCATCATAGCCAGAACATCTACAATTCGACTGCCTTTTCTCATGGAAATACCTCAACCTTATCCGGGTCATGCCGTCTGGACATAGCCCAGCCTTGTCAGGGTCATATTGAGGTATCCCTTATATCTGCGTGGAGTATTACCTCGGCGTGGTAGACAATCCGAAGGAACTGACCTCTTGAGAGACCAAGAAAAAGCCTCAGGAACGGCACATCTAGAATAAAACTCTCCTTACCTTGACGACACTAACCATGTTTGAAGGTGGTAGCATAATCGTTCTAGCCCAAGTCTTGCGCAAGGGTCCGTGGAGGTAAGGGTTGATCAAGGGATTTCCTGTCCAAATACGATCTGGCTGATCGGTGTGCCGCATCTTACTTTCGAAGTTCTCCGATACGTGGAACCCCTCATCATTTATGTTGGAATCGGTGTTTTGGCCCTGATAAGAGGCTGTCGACATTGACGCACATGGCTCGCACGGGGTATACAGCGATCTACCTGGAGATCTCGGCAGCCTGCTGCAAGTGCACCCGCATGCGTGTATCTAGCACACGCCCGATTACTAGACGCCGTTGACTAGTTAGGAGGCGGGCGAATACACTTATACTTGGCTTGGTCCCTCATTGTCGCACAATCACATTAACCGTCCCAATCCCAAACTGATCTTCGGCGGTCCATATGTACAATGTCTACAATGTCTACCACTACAACGGAGAAGGACGAAAAGCCAGAGCGGCTCGATATGTCTGATGGTTTGCAGATCGCTCAACCTGAGACATATCCCGAGGCCGTCAACCGCTACTCTGCCAACGGCGATACGAAGCTACCACAAATCAACGATGATGACGATGGTGGACGCGGCCGTCTGCCGCGGACGAGGTCATCTCGCCTGCGGGGTTCTCACGACATTCTTTCGTATCGCACTGCATTGGACAGCGATCAGGACCAGGCTCCTCACATACAGGTCCCTCCTGATATGTGGAAGAAGTTCTTTGCTCATCGGCGACGTAAATACTGGTTTACCATCGCCATGTCATTTACCATTGTCGCTGCACTCGTCGGCACTAGTATTGGGGGAGGACTTGTGGTGCAAGAGAAAGCCGACAAGTAAGACATGGTTCTAGTTATCCGTCATTGTCTAATGCTTGAGTAGGAAGGCCGAAGCACTTGCAGCGGAGCAGGCGGCGGCGAGTTCGAGTATGGAGCTGTTTCCAACACCTACATCGGCGAGTCCATCGGATATTTCAGCGGATGCCCCATCGGATACTCCAACGGATAGCCCAGCGGCTGCGACTGAAGACACGGGGACTTACTACAGCGCGAGGCCATTTGGCGCCATCCAGTCAATCAACACAACATGTCCATCCACGCTCCTCATCTCAAGTCGACTGGAAGGCAAGAAGTCCGATATTAGTGGTCGGTATACCTACAACTGTCTCGACAGTACCAACATCCTCGACACCATCCTCATGAGCTTCACCGCATACACCCTGGAGCAATGCGTCGACGCATGTAGTCAATACAGCGCTATGAACGCAAGCAGTGTCTGCAAAGCCGCTGTGATTAGCTCTGACTTTAGCGCAAGGTACGAGACTGAGAATGGAGCGAATTGTTGGCTGAAGAGTGGGAGTGGGGATGCGAGTACGGGGCAGAATGGGTATACAGCGGCGGTGTTGCGGGAGGATTGATCGAAAAAGAAGATGTTTTGTCTATCGTTCAACATTGTACAGATCATTACCGGCGTTTCTCTTTGTTCATATGATGGACGGCTTAGGTTCCTTTTTTGCAGAATTAGCGATCGTTTGAAGTGACTCCGTCACTACCTGTTCTATACCAATACCAGTCGTTATAGTTTTGTGTTTCAACAGCATTCCTATCAAGGAAGCACTCTGGGGCCTACGTTGACGTGAGTTTGCCTAATTTGCATGTTGTCATTGATGTAGGCTCCAGATCTGTGTAGGTTTTCCTTGCATCAGGTATGAGTGTGGGTGGGCTGCTTGTTCGCTATAGTTAGCATGAAGCCGGTTTACACTTCAGGCAAGTCTCATTTCAGTGCTCTTCCATGTTAGAATCCATGAGATGACGCAGGCTGGCGATGACTAAGAGAAAGTCGCCTGACCGTGGTAGAGCAGGGATCGTGGTAGGGTAGAATCTTTCCGGTCGTACCTGCAAGTGACGTATACTCAACCCGGGCAGTGACTTCACATGTCGCTAAGAGCAAAAGAGAAGTGACTTACCATGTTCCAGAGGCTGTGCAGGTATATGCTCTGCCTATGAAGCGTCCTGTGGGTCCGGGCAAGAAGTATTAATGGGCAAAAAGATATACCAACCCACTCTCGAACCCAGAAAGATGCAAAAAGAGCAAAAGAATTGTTTCCGACACCGGGAATCGAACCCGGGCCTTGCCGGCACTGCGCTGCAACAGCGAGCTGACTCTGCGATGAGAGCGGCAAATCCTAGCCACTAGACCATATCGGAAATTGATAAAAGGTAGAAGAGATACAGGTATAATAAAGGGAGTTACGAAAATTTGACGTGGCGACGATGAGGTTTGACCATACTTCGTTGGGAGGGTCGGGGGGTATAGGAAACTACACTGGCAAGCTCGTGGAAGATTCTGACATGTCGATAGTGATGGCGGGGAACTTTTCTGCAGACCCCTGAATACCCCCACTTCGCGAAATCTCTACCACCAACATCCCGGAGGTACTGCGGATATGCCACAATGCAGTTCGAAGCCGCTGGATTCGCCGTACGAGTGCTTGGAACGATATAATTGATGCAACACATATGGTAAGCCAGTGCGGTAGGGCTTTACTAAGCTACACGGCTCTATGTACATCTCGATCAAGATCTTCGACGTGAGATGTCTGCCAACACCTCGCAATATCACACAGCAGTCTTTTGCAAGGAAGCATCCCGGCTGTTGCCTGTGTTAAGACGGCGCACTACTTTGAACGACGTTAACTTCGTCGATGCGACTACTACTATATTTCATGACAATAGCGAAATCGATTTCGGCATCTCGATCTATCAAATACGTCTACAACGTGATAAGCCTAGGATGCTTTTCGGGCGCATAAATTTAGCGTTCTTGTAAAATTTGGCTAGCGATGGCAAAGCATCTATACTTTGCCGAAAATCAAGATTGTTCGAGAGCCTCGCGATGGAGACTTGCTAAACACACGGCGGTTGCCGAACTTCGATTCTTGGTTCGAGAGTACTGCTGCAAATTGGCCTCCTCGACATGTCACACTGCAGCAGTGGTATCGTGTGGCTCTTCCTACAACGACATCGCGGCCACCGCGTTGAGCAACGAGACTAAACACCCTAAAGCCTATGTTGACTCTAGATTGTCTACATTGTATATAACTATATTGATGTAGGCCCCTGAGTAGCCAGCGTCTTTCTTGAATGAGGTGCACGAGTGCTTGTGCAATTGAGCCTTGTCATTATACCAACACCACGGTACAGATATTGGACAGTCCCTCCCATCTCAATCTCACCATGTCAAAACCACTCCGCTTCTTGATCTGCTCACACAAACCATCCTACTTATCCCAATAACACCCCATCTATCCATCCCCTCACTTACCATTCCTATGCACCCCAATAAACGTCCTCTCCCCCCTATACATATGAATACTCCTCGAGAAATGATCCTCCTCCTCTTCCTCCTCTTTAATCCACACGCCATCCACCAATTTCGCCCTAACCATCTCCTCCCCCTTCCCATCCACCATCTCCCCGTCCACCCCCTCCCCAGGCAAAACCCCCCCATCCCTCGTCCTCCCCTCCGCCATCCTCACCCCCACAGCCTCAACCACCGTATCAAATCCAGCCTCCACATCCTCCTCACCCCACGGCAGACTATCAACATCGATCTTACTCTCCCGGCCGAGCAAACACATGATAATAACCATAGCACCCGCTTTCGACATGACCTGATTATGCTGTTTACACGCGTCATCATTGCAGCACTCATTACACCCCTCCAGACAATGACAACTCGTAAGCCTTTGACACGCCTGCTCAAGCAGCGTATCGATAAACTCGAATGCCTTTGTACTAATCCCGCTGCCGCTAGCACCGCCTTTTGCGTCGTAAAAGGTAAGTCGCGCCGGTCTTTTGCGTGTGGATTCTTTCGCCAGGAACTCTTTCTCGGGGACTTTGCATTCGGTGCGGACGTCGCCGGGCATGCTGATGACGAAGTTGGGCATGAGGGATAGGACGGCGTGTTCGGCGGCGTGGATGCCCGCTGCGATGTTCAACCTCCTCGACCTCAGGATATCCAGCGCGGATTTGGGCACGTCGAGCCACATGCCCTTGCTAAACAGTATGATAGGCGGATTATCAACCTGCACGGCATCCAGAATCCGTCTTTTCTTATCAATCTTGAAGAAGCCATACACGACTTGTTGGATCTTGATAGGCCCGTAGAAAGCTTTGGACCTGGAACCGGGGATACGGCGGATAGCTTCTGTTTCTACGGGGTCGATGTCTGTGTAGTCGCGTTGTTGGGTTGTCCAGTCTACCTTTACATATTCGACTTTTGCGAGCATGCGCTCTTGGCTGAATTCTTTGACGAGGTAGGTGTTTCCTTGGTGGAGGAAGATGCCGCCGTCGTAGAGGGTGAAGAAGGCGCGCGAGGCTTCGAGTTCTTCGAGTACGGTGTTTTTGCCGTGGGTTACGTCGATTATGGCGAAGTGGTCTTCTTCCGTGTCGCGGATTGCGACTGTGCGGGAGGGTTGGGGGAGGAAGCGCGTGTTGACGTGGTAGAAACCTTCTTTGTCGCAGCGCATGCGCTCTCGTGCGATTTTGGGGAGGAGAGGGCCGAAGTAGGAGGTATCTACTTCGACGTTGATGGGCATCTCGTGAGCGGCGCATTGTACGTGCCCTTCCAGGACGAGCATGTTTTCTAGGTCGACTTGAAGTGCGCAGTTGGGTTTTGTGAAGATCTCGTCTGGGTTCGACATGTAGTACTGGTCGGTAGGAAAGCAGTCGCCGACTAGTACGGATAGCGAGTCTTTGTTTCTCCTTCCAGCACGACCACTTTGTTGACGCAGGTTGGCGATAGTATAAGGAAAGCCGACTGTAACGACAGCGTCCAGTGAACCGATATCGACACCAAGTTCCAACGCACTAGTAGCCACGATACCACAGAGCTTGCCGTCGAACATCTCTCGTTCGATCTCTCGTCTGTCTTGCGGTGTATATCCGCCTCGATACGACATAACCCGAGCAATGACCTCCGGTCTTTCCAGATTGGTAAGTTCGGTCTTGATAGCAGCAAGTAACGCTTCACACTGCTTCCGTACACGACAAAATGCGATAGCTCTGACGCCCCTCAACATCAATTGACAGAACAGTTTCGCCGTCTCCGCCATACAATCGCCGCGTCCAGATGTAGGGTCACCAGGGTCCTTGAACGGCGTGTTCCAACACAAGAACTCTTTACGCCCGGAAGGAGATCCGTCAAAGTCCGTCAGTTTGACTTCGTCAACACCGAAGATAGTCTTCATGTGCTCTTCAGGATTCGCGACTGTAGCCGAGCAGGAGATGAACTTGACATGTCGATTGCCCAACGCCGCGCATATCCTGCGTAGACGACGCATGATGAACGCCATGTGTGCTCCAAACAGTCCGTTGTAAACGTGCAGTTCGTCCACCACTACGAACCTTAGGTTCTGAAGATACGTCCGCCAGGCATCTTCTTGCGGCAGGATAGTAATGTGCAGCATATCCGGATTTGTAAAAATGATGCGTGCCTCATCCCGGATGTAATTACGATCACTCATCGGCGTATCGCCATCAAATGTCTCAACTAGGACTTGTTCAAACCCCGGCATAAACCGCAACAGCTCCTTCATACTCTTCCTCTGATCCTGCGCTAGCGCTTTCGTCGGAAAGATATACATAGCCCTCGTATTAGGTTCTTGTTCCAGCTGATGCAAGACCGGTATCTGGTAGATCAATGATTTACCAGAGCTTGTCGAAGTAGACACAATGACATTATGCCCGTCATAAAGATTGTTGATAGCCTCCGCTTGGTGAGCGTAAAGCTGAGTAATGTTCCTCGTGTTATACAGCGCATTGACGAGGTTCTGCGACATGGCGAAGTTCAAGTCGCCGAAGACAGCTTCTTGTGGGTCGAAAACACGGTGGCCGTCTGGCACGATCTGCCCAGTGTACCACTCCATCGTCTTGATCTCGTTCAAGATATCAGGAATAGGCTTTCGCTCCGCGGGTATGGAAGCTGGTATGAGCGCTCTATCCGGACCGGGTGTAGAGTGCCGACTCGCAGCCTCCACAGGAACAAATGCTTTTGAAACCTCCATAATCTTCTCAACCGAATCCACCCCCTCCTCAGCACACTGATTCAAAAACGCATTCACCGCCGACGTAAACTTGACATTCCTCTTCTCAATCAAATTCATCATCTGCTTCTGACTATACACCGGCATCTTGAGATCCTCATTCCGTAACTTCGTCGTAGCCTTCGTCGGTTCTCCCGTTTTCTTATGTTGCACCTGGCGCTTCAAATCACCGTCGATGAATTCAAACAGCAGCACCTCTTTATGCTCGCCTTTATCCGGTTCGGGTTCCAGTATCGCGAAGTCGGTTGTCCGTCTGCCGTGCAGATTATCTTCTGAACCCATCAAGTTGATTTGTAGCATTGCCTCGTCAACGTAGGCGAAGTTGATGGCTTTGGGTATCAGGGCGGTGATTTGCGCTACATCTTCGATAACTAGCTCTCGTTGTATGTTCGCTTCGACGGTGCTGCGCAGGTTTTCGAGGGTCGTCGCGAGGTGCTTGCGCGTGCAGAGGAATGTGTAGACGAGGTTTACGGCGCGGTGGACTTGGGCGAGCTTCGTGAAGTGCTCTGGCCATGGTATCGACGTTTCGACCAGGGTGGACGAGTTGTTGCGCGCAAGAGCTGGTTTACCGGCACCAGTCTTCTTGGGCGCTCGCCGCGGCTTCTTTCCTCCATCGTGTGTCTTCGTGGGGACGCTCGTAGTGGTCGTGGCTGGGTCGGGCGCGTTGGGATCGATCATTGAACCATCCGGTCCAACGATCCTGTGAACCTCCTTCACCCCCTCGCCTTCTGCAGCTGACGCCGCTGTAGTCGCTTCCTCATCATTATCTCGCGATTTCCGCTTTCGCTTTCGTACAGTCTGGTCCGAGACGGTGGCAGCCTTGAGTCGAGGCATCGTGGGGACGTTGTTATGGACGCAGCGCCGGTGGTAGGGAGCATTGTTTCACAATCAATGACGCAATGGCGCAACGGCAAGAGTGATCGTGCACCTGGGGGAACTTCGCTTCGGCGTCGAATTTACTTGATTAGGGGGTCTCAAATCACGTTCTTAGCTGTGCATCTGACCTTGCACACAAATCGCTGCGACATCTTACAAAAAGACGCGATCCTCGCGTCGCGCGTCGCCACGCTCTCACGTGCGCTAGACTGCCGCGTGGGCTTTTCTCTGATCGGGCCCACGCATTTCACAACAAACATTTCACAACCACATCAAAATCACCTCTCTCGCGTCAACACTTTCTGAAAAGAGTCCAAGATGCATTTCCACACCTATCCCCAGGGTATATGGCCAAAGAAGATCAGCATCCCGCCCACATATCCAATCCACCAAACCCACTTCATCCAAGTAGCCACTTGTTTGTGTGAATATACAGAAGAGGTATCGAACAAGAACAGAAAGATCGAAACAACAAGCACACTCCTCGCTAGAATGCAGTGATATCAGAAAAGACAGACCAGGGAAAACCCATCAACAAACAACAAAAAATAAGCCATTACATCGTAAATGAGAATAACAACAACATCGCCTCGTCGGGCAAATTTTTTTCATCAGGAGAAGGGGGCGACTTAGTTGCCTAAGCGCTTTCGCTGTGCTCACAACGCCCCACCCGCACCAGGAAGAAGCATCTCGATGCACTTCGTCAGCAGATTGCTCGCCTCATGCAACAACTCCCACCTCGTCTTCTTGAACATGTCTCGCATGATGATGAGCAGACCGAGACAAGCATTGCGATTAGAGGTTTTGCTAAGATCTTCCGGTGACCGCACACCACCAACACGGTTGAGGTAGAGAACCATATCCCTAACCTTATCATCATAGGTGGGGAGCTGGTATGGTTCCTTGACCGGACCATCGAGCGCGAAACCATACGACCACACGATCAATGTGGCAAAGTACAGCACCCATGGTCGGTTGAGGAGGTAGTCGTCGCGTGCGGAGTAGGAGAAGCCAGCCGTGGACGGCGTGTTGGGGTTCAGACTGTGGTCTCCGGCGACCATGACGTTGGAGAGGAAGCGGAGGGCGTAGAATGTGGCGTCCCGGGCTCGGGCAGTGGGGGCCCACATCTCCTTCATCCGACGTTGCGCGCCATTGTAGTCTTGCGGGGTTATTGACCGCCCGAGCAGGCGGGGTGCGCCGGCGTAGATTTGGCAATCGACAATGTCGACGTGCATGGCCATGTGTGCCAGGTGGTGGAGCACGGTTCGGGACTCGAACACGTTGTCATCGTCAACACCTTGCGAATACCCGTATGAGCTCGAACTAGGGCGGTCTTCGGATCGGTTCAGTGAACTGTCGAAATCTTGCTTCCAGAAATCAAAGGCCCGGGTGAGGGAGCCCCGCCATTTGTCGCGTCCGCCTAGTGCTGTCGTCACACCAAGTGAGCTGACTTGCAAATCTCGCTGATTCATGTGCCATGATACGCTCAGCAGACCGGCCATGAGGATTGTGCGTCCAAACGAATTCGTCCGTACCGTCTGCCCATTGAGCGTCTTCTTAAGACCGTCAAGGAAAGACATTGGTTTAATGCCATTCGATGTGAGGGACTGCTCGACTCGTCCCACTTCAGAACTACTCGTTGCAGACCAGAGCGCTTCGTCGCATGGCAGTGGAAGTCGCATCTCGTGAGCGACCATGACAGCGCTGTGGCCGAACATGGTAGCGTGGATGCTGTCCATGACGAAGGCTGCGAATGCTGCCCTCCTAGTAGCCTCATTCGTGATCCAGTGGTTCCACCATTCGTCTGGCGTGTTTGCTCCACCGATTCCGTTGCTCTTTCCATCTTTGACACTAGGAGGCGAGTCCATTGCTGACCGTCCGATCAGCGAGCTTCCGCGCCTCATAAGCGTCAGTGTCGTGGCATGATGGATGTGCGCTCGTTCGTGTAGCGGGCGCGTAGAGTACATCTTCTCAAACGACTCGAGGAGGAGCAGGCCTTGGAAGATCCATAGCTTAGCGGGTGGACGAAAATCAGCGTCCATAAACAGCTCCCAGCGCAGGTGCCACGCCAAAAAGTTAGCCAGCGAAGCACAAGCCTGTGTAGTCTCTTGACCGTAGTTCTTCTCCAAACAAGACGCTCCGAGACACATGATGGCGAGCAACAGCAGCTCAGGACACGTGCTTGCATTGAACGTTGGCTTGTGGAGGATTGGTAATTGCGGGTGGAAATGTACCCAGTACGAGCTGATGTACGTTTGCATCATATGCAAACTGAGTACGTGCCGGCTGTCGTCTTTGTCACCCTCCATGAGTTCCTCCTTCTGCTTCTTGACTGGCGCATGATCTGTTTCGTTGAAGCGCAGATGGATGAGGTCAAGAAGGTCTTTCCGCTTCTCTTCTGACAGGGCAGATTCGGGAAGCGTGGTGTCTAGTATGCTATGAACAGCCATGGGATGTGCAGGCGGTGCAGGATTGTTCAGATAGCCGGCGACTGAGGGGTCATAGTTAAAATACGGAGCTTGAAGGCCAATTTGGGATGACGCACCAGCTACGGGGTTTACTCCGCCCGGGTAATCCATGGGCGATGCGCCTCCTGGGTTGAACTGATTGTCATTGAAGAGCCAGGCGGCGAAGTCGTCGGCCATGGCGAATGGTGACCGACTGTATCCATTGCCACCAAACATTGGTATGGCATACGCGGGATTCTGCTCCATGATGGCGTCAGAGACACCCTGCATTCTGTTGTCTATTTGAACTGTAGACTCAACACCATTCATGGGCGTCTGTCCAGAAGTGCCATTGTAGAACTGGTTCTCTTGTTCTCGAGGAGCAGGGGTGCCGGTTGGCTGAGGGTACTCTGGTGGAGGTAAGGAGGAGAAGGGAGGAAAGTTGTTTTGTGATTGATACGCACTGGCGCTGTTTTGGTAGCCGGTCGAGGGCGCAGAGGGAGTATACTGGGATGGTGTAACGGCAGAGTTGAAGGGTGAGCTCGAGCCATACGAGCTGAGATTGGACGTCTGCGCGCGTAGATCGGGCCGGGTGAAGTTCCCATTACCCACATGTGGGGAGTTGTGGAGAGAGTTGCGACCTCCACTGTAGTTGCCCAAAGCGGCCGGACGCGGTGGGGGTGCAAAGTTTCCAGCGCTCTGGGACTGCATGTCGTAGGGCTTAGCTTCTGAGCCACTGCGGTACGTATCGTCGCTCACTGTCCTCTGCAGCGAGTCTTGCCTGCTGAGCGTGGCAGTCGAGCCTGGCGACTGGAAGTTTGGCGGCGACATTCTGCTGCCTGGGCCTGCGTTGGAGGCTCCAGACGGCGGAGACTGCATGCCGAGTGCCTTCTGTGGCGGTGCATTCTTTCCGCCCAGTGCAGCCGTCACAATGGGGTTCAGATTGTGCATGTTGAACGTGTCCTTGCGCAGCAGCTGCGAGCCTCGCGCCGTGTGTCTCTCCTTGTGGCGCGCGCAGAGGTCCTGGCGGACAAAAGATCGGTGGCAATCGGGAAAGTCACAGTGGTAGATTTGCTTGGGGTTGTCTGTCTACGTTAGCTGGGTGAGGCCTGCGGGCGCTGCTGCACTCACGGTTCAGCTGATGGCGGTAGAGGTGCTCTGCGCGGGAGTAGCTCTTCCCGCAGCCCTCGTGCGGGCACTCAAACTTCTTGTCGAGGCCCTTTCTGCTGCGCCGTCTCTTTCTCGAGGAGCCATGGCCGTCACCCTCGCCCTCGCCGCCGGATCCGTCTTCGTCGCGGTCGCGTCGGCGGCCACGGGTGTCGGCGCTGTCGGGGGAGGCGGGGGTGGGAGGCTCGTTTGCAGGGCCAACCGTGGAGTCCATCTTGTCTCGGAACTGCGTCTGGATCTTGCCCAAATCCGACGCGTGCGCAGCATGCATAGACAAGATTTGCGCCGTCATTGCCAGCGGGTCGTCAGGTGCAATGTCGTGTGTCGCGACGCTGGCAGACAGTGCGCGTGTGTAGGGCTTGGGTGGACGTTGTGTAGCCTGGTGGCGGAGCGACTCGTGTGCGCGGTTGCCAGATGGTGTTGATGTTAGTCAAGAGGCGCTCGGCCATGGGCGTGCATGCTGCTTTGGGAATCACACGGCAGGCGAGATGCTGGGGCGGGCCAAAAGCGACGGCGTGGGCTGCGCAGGTCTTAATCGCCGCGATCCTGGGCGATGACCTGCAGATAGATGTTAGAGCCTCTGGGTGCGTGTCGTCGTGGCGAGAACCCTGGACGGGGAACGTGGGGAAGAGCAGCTCGTCGTGGGAGGCAGCAGGACGGGCGCGGGTAGACTTGTGGGAATGGAATGGAGAGGGCCGATGCCGACTTGGGACGGCGACTAGGACTGGCTCTGGCTCTGGCACGACTGGGGACCTGTGACCACGCAGACCGTCCGCAGTAGCCGCGATAAGAATTCAAGATCCCGTGGCTGTGGGTAATGTCTAAGCACCAGCTGGCTGAAGTAGTGAGGGGTAGCTCGCAGCCTTCCGACGACTCCAGCCTCCGCCGTCAGCAATTAACTTTCTGAATGCACTCCAAGACGCCCGTCTGGATGCTGCAATACTGCACCTACACCTGCAGCCTGCTGGACCACCAGAATGTGGAGAAGCGAGCCGGCGTGGGACTGGCAACTCGGGCGTGGGGGCCGCTGGAGCGCAGCATCTACTCGACCTTCTCCGACGGCACCGTCACCACTTCTCGTAAACGCCATTGCAGTTACTGGTCGATAGCAGCGCGTGCCTGTTCATGCACCGCAGACTGTGCACCGCCGTATGCACAAGGCTGCATCAAGCATGCGATGCTGCACGTGGAAGCATTCGACTCCTCCTCCTTCCAGGCCCGCTGCCATCCTGCCCACTTCTGAGACTGTTGATATCTCTGCATCGCTTCACCCATCTCTAGACCCTGATTTACGCCCCTCTATACCTCTCTACACCTCGACCTGAGCCCAACCCGCCCAACGCGCAACTAATTTCCACACCTCATCACACGTGCGCCACTCGCACCGCGCTGCTCATTCGCCAGCATTTACCCAGATGCTAGTGCCCACTCGGCCCGTCGGCCACCAATTGATACTTGCAGCCTGGACGCCCTACCCCAGGATCGTCTTGCCGCGCAGCGCGACAAAACACGCAGACGCATCTACGGTCCACTCCCGCCAATGATGCGCGGCCCGGACGTCACCCTCTTCTTGCGGCACTCGGAGCCCGGCGAGCGTCGTCGCATCGGTATCCGCATTTGATTAATTTTGCATATACGCATTGATTTATTCGGAGGAATGTCAAGACGGAACTTGTCTAATTGAGCCTCATCAGCCCTATCTGTCATTAACACCGTGTGACGAGACAGTTCACGCAGTGCAACATGGAAACGTGGAACGACCAAGCCGGGCCTGTAGCCATATTCGCCCCCAACCGCTGGACCAAGCGCAACGAGACAATTTCTCCCATCCTTGTCACTACGGTGCGCTTTACCGAGCGCCTCTCTTCCGCCCCGGAGAATATGCAGTTTTGCTTTGCTTTGCCCTTCCTTCATGTTTCAAGGCCAGTATATTGCCAAACTGGGCAGGAACTTCCCTGGTCCGAGTCTATACTTGTCTCGTGAGCTGAGATGGATCCTCCGCGGAGGCTATACACACGCGCTAGCTGAGCCACTCCGTACTGGTTGGTTCTTGAAGCTGGAGGTAAAGCCCGAGGGCATTAATGCATGTCTGTTCGATGAAGCCCCGCTATCACTCATCTGAGATCCCAACCATCAACAGATACTAGTATCTAGTAATGCGGCTCCCTTGAGCCATATCATGCCGTGCGTGATATCTATGTGTGCTGATGCAAGTGATAGCATCCCGATCTGCCCTGCCAAGTCATTATTCCGTCCTTTTCCTACGCCTAATGTACACCACGGAAGCTTTCTGAAATACCACCCGTTGAGCCTTGCCCGTGATAACCTAATCTTGGGCCTTCGCACCACCCTCTTCGTCAGCCGACTCTGCAGCAGAATCAACCTTCTTCGCCTCCTCTGACCCTTCAGCATCTGGCTTGCTATCATCTTTGGCTTTAGTGTCGTCTTTTGATGGTTCATTTTCGTCGTCTTGGGCGTCCGAAGCACTGGCCTCAGCATTCTCAGTAGTCGCTGGCTCTGTGGCGGCATCTGTGTCTTTCTTTTCTTCTTCCTCGGTCGAGGTACCCGCTGCCTTCTCCTCGCCCGCGCCTTCCTTGGCTGCTTCAGTCGTGGGATCCTTGGCATCTGCTTGTGTTATCTCTGCAGCTTCAGCCTCGTCCTCGTCTTCGTCCTCGTCATCATCTTCGTCATCATCATCTTCGTTGTTATCTTCGATAGCCGTGACGTCCCCATCACTGTCGCCTTCCTCCTCTTCCTCGTCCTCCTGTGCCGATTCGAAGATTTGGGTGACTGGTCGCGCTTGAAGAACTGGACGCTCCTCTTCCTCCTCATTCTCCTCTACAACTGTTTGAACAGCCGTGGCTCCAACTGATGGCGAATGCCTATGTCGCTTAGTTGTTCCAGCTGTTGATAGTGAATGATCAGACATTCCGTCTGCCAGTGTGTTACTTGAAATCTCCGATGTCGAATCAGAGGGCTCTCGCTTCATAATCAGAGGTGGTGCTGACGGCTTGACCTCTGTTGATGGCTCAATGCCCTCGGCCTCAGGAGGGATGGTGTAGTTGTCCTCCGGTACCAGACCGTATACATCGCAGACCGTCTTATAGAATATGTATAGGCCTGTGCGCCCCTCGACCTTCCAAAATACTTCTCGGTGCGAGTACCATGCGTGCGCAAAGATTCTGTATACGCGCCTGAAGATGTTGGTCAACTGGCGCATTTGCGAGTGCTGCGTTGACGAGTCTGTGCCTAGCGCGAGCCGTGAAGGAAAGTGCTTGGGTGATGTGAGGGTGTTGGCCGCCCAGTCGAGCGTGTGGCAGCAGTAGTCGATGGCACAACATGACTTTGGCGGGTCGTGTACTGCGCAAAGGTACTGCCACTCGGAAGCGCGCATCTCGGGACACGTCAGGGACGAGCATGGTGGGTCGTCGGCGAAGAGGGCGGTAATGATGGAGTTGACCTTTTGTATGAGGAAGCGGCAGAGTTCGTATAGCCACAGCGTCCTGTCCACATTGGCGGGTGATTGTGCTATCTTCAATGCCATGTTTCTGTCTACTGGCACAGTGCCGTTCGAGCCGGCGGGGTGCGTAAGCGAGTGGTGGAGGGCTTTGAGGTGTTCTGTAAGTTGGAATGCCGAGTCAATCTGCGCATCTTGTCAGCCAGGCGCTATCTTTATTGGAGTATGCCTCGACGTACCTCTGATAACTCTACCAGCGGCGGCCCCTCTGCCATATCCTCCGCCTTGGTCCCCGGTCGTATTCTCCGTTCGGCGGCATGGTCGAGATTGCTGAAGAGCTTCTGCTGCTCTGGCGACGCGGATACCGGCGAGAGCTGGTCTTCTGGGATGGGCGGCGGGCTGGGAAGGCGCGGCGAAGCGGGCGACGTCATGTTTGCGGAATGATGGGTGGTAGTGAGTGAATTGCGATCACAGTAGACGTCTGGCGACAGGTAGGCGGGGCGGCGTGTGTTGTTGATACCTGGAGCTTGCGGATGCAGGGCATGGGCAGGGGTCTTGTCAACTAGGAAATACGCGACGGCGCTAGCTTCATCGCGCGTCAGTCGCGGTGGACCATTTTTCTACATGACTCTGCCACCCCACGACGTCATTGCCGTCTCTCTTGGCCTCCAAAATCCCGAAGTAGCTGCGATTAGGTAAGACGTTATGGGTGCATCGTGTACTTTAGGATTGCACATTCTTACGCACCTACCTCCAGATCATCTGTTCTAACTCATTCTAGAACTGTATCTTGACGCTCTGGCACCCCTCCTCGACATTCGAATCACTATCTAGGAACAGCTTGCCGGTCATGGATGGAAACGTATCAGACGATGAAGTCCCCACTCTAGTCCAACCAGAGACTAACACCAAAGTCCTCAACGACCAAGATGAGGAAATACCCAATCTTGTGGCGACCTCGGAGGAGGTACCCCAGAGTAAAGTGCCCATCACCATAGTTACAGGTTATCTTGGTGCGGGAAAGACGACTTTGCTCAACTATATTTTGACTGAGCAACATGGAAAGAAGATTGCCGTCATTCTGAATGAGTTCGGTGACTGTAAGCTCGCCTTCTACCAAGAATAAGACATCACCCTAACAGATGGCTTAGCAATTGACATCGAAAAACAACTCACTGTCTCCGACGCAAACTCTACATCCGCCCAACCCGCTCCCTTTGTGCCCCTCGCAAACGGCTGCATATGCTGCTCTGTAAAAGACATCGGCGTAGCAGCCATCGAGAACCTAATGGAGCAATCCGGCCTATTCGACTACATCCTGCTCGAAACAACCGGCCTAGCCGACCCCGGAAACATCGCACCAATGTTCTGGCTCGACGATGGCCTGGGCAGCAGCATCTTCCTCGACGGCATCGTCACCCTCGTCGACGCAAAGAACGTGCTAAAGAGCCTAGACGAAGGCCTCGGCGACGAGGAAAACATTGAAGAGAGGAAGAAAGCATCGCATGACGAACACGGCCCCCTACTTACAACAGCACACTTGCAAATCAGCCACGCAGACGTCATCATCATCAATAAAACCGACCTGGTCTCTGCGCAAGAACTCGAACAAGTCACCGAGCGAATCCGGTCGATCAACGGCCTCGCTCGCATCAAGACGACGACGAAAAGCCAAGTCCCGCAGCTTGAAGGACTGGTGTTGGACCTCCATGCCTACGATGAAGTCACAGACACAGATCTGCAATTCGCGAGTAAAGGACATAGCCACCTCGACCCCACAATCACCACTTCAACAATCTCCTTCCCGGCTTTAATCCGCGACCAAGTCGACAAGTTCGATCTCTTCCTCCGCACTATTCTATGGGAGGAGACGCTACCGAATGAAACTGCACACAAGCCTTTTGAGATCCATCGCTTGAAGGGACGCGTTCCGGTCAAGGACGGCAAGATACTTCTCACACAGGGTGTAAGGGCCATCTACGATACGAATGAGTTTGATGCCAAGCCCGAAGATGGGGCGCAGGAGTCGAAGTTGGTTTTGATTGGGAGGGCTGTGGATCAGGAGGCGTTTAGGCAGAGTTTGGTGGCTACGTTGGGTGGTGGGCAGTGATTGAGCCTTTGTGTTAAGAAAAATGAAGGGTGGCGCAGTCTGACGGCGTTGTGGATGTGCTGCAGATGCCGCAAATTAAAAGTGGGAAGAGCGAATCAAATAGATTGAGAAATTCTGCCTGGCAGATAAGGCATGGCATTGCTCAGCTTGACAGCTCAGTAGCCTTCTCGTCAGCGCTAAATATTGCGAGGCAGTGGCAGCCTTGTAGAGGACCACTACCCCGCGTTGCAACATTCCTTCAGACTTCGACACAATCAACTTCTACTGCACCGTCAGAATGCCTAAATACACTTACCAACCTCTCGACAAGCCAGATTCAGAATTCAGGCTCCTTCAAATCAGCAAAGATCCTCTCACCCATCAACCGCGATGCAGCTTACAGAGGTACAGCCTCACAGAATGTCCTGCCTATACCGCTCTATCATACACTTGGGGCGAACCGACGCCAACCCATAGCGTAGCCGTCGACAGATCGGACCTGGAAGTGCGCCAAAATCTCTTCGACTTCCTAAACGCCTACATTACTGAGGCCTGGGGCATGGACAATACCACAAGGCCAGTGTTCTATTGGATCGATCAGATATGCATCAACCAGGAGGATTTAATTGAGCGTAGCGATCAAGTTCGCGTGATGGACAAGATCTATAAGCAGGCGAAGATGGTGCTCATATGGTTAGGGTCCGAACCAATGATGATTGAGGCTGTGCGTCGACTGCAAGACAAGGAAGATTACGACGAGTGGGCTTTTGCTACTCTGGCATCCCACACGTACTTCTCACGGATATGGATCGTTCAGGAATTTGCGCTCAGCGTGAACCCACCTCTCTTTGTTTGCCTGGGGATTGAGCTAAGTTGCGATCGTGTACGCCGTACGAGTAGAGAGACACCGCCAATTTTACCGCCAGCTGTCTATTCAACCATTATATACGAACGTGGTCGAGAAAACCGTACTCTGAAAGATTGTATCCGGTTACACTGTGAGAAGCATTGCCATGATCCTCGCGACAAGGTCTACGGATTGTTAGGACTCACACCTGAAAGATGGCGAGTGCGTGTCGATTACACAAAAGAGGTTCTCGAGGTATACTTCGATGCGGTGGCGGCTCTGTTCGAAGAGTTATTCGACCACAAAGATCCAGAGTGTGTGTATTCAAAACGATCGACAGATACGGTCAATTTACGGAACTATCGCAACACGCTTATTATTCTAGCAAGAGCGATGGGTCTCTCCTGGAGATATCTTTGTGGTCTTCATCCATTCCTCGAATATATTCAAGCCGCATACTTGAACACCAAGATACGCAATGTCCAGTATACATATACGGGCCGCATATACACTAGGACATGGGCGCAATTACCTTCTGAACAAATCCCTGCGCCAGAAGAAGAAGTCGAGGTCAGTTGGGGATCCATCACAGCGACGAGGCGAAACCCGTTGATGCGCGACATTATCCCAGAGATGGGCTTGCAGTTGGCAGGTACGACTACGGAAAGTAAGGCTGAGCAGAGTGACGATTCTGTATCAGCTCGAGATCGCTGGTGGTGCCAGCATGAAGGTAAGATGCATTACTTTGATTGTTGGGTTTCTTGGTGAGTAGCGGAATCGTACCAAACAACAGGGAGAGAAGAACCACTCAGATAATGTCACGCTTTGTAGATTCTTTCGCTCATGCTCCTGTTACTTCATTACTTCTTGACTATCCCTGTATCTACACGAGATCAATCTCTATACCACTAGAAGCAACATTTATCCCACCATAGCGAAGAGAAAGAATGCAAACACCACATATATTCCCACAGCGTCATCGAAAGAACTCAAATGATTACAACCATCAATTTGCCACTAAAACTAATCTCAACCCCCAATCTCACCTCCTACTCAAAACCCTTCCTCCATAGGCGACGCTGCGCTTACACAATACCCTTCTCATTCCCCACAACATTCGTCTCATTCCCACTCGACGCATCGCCATGCAAGTACGCCGCAAGACCAATCTCATGATTAATCTCCGCCATGCGCTCCTGATCTTTGAGCGCCGCGCCCTCACTGCCAAAGATGGTGTCCATCTCCTCGAGCGTCAGCCGCTTGGTCTCAGGGACAAAGAACCAGATGAAAGCTGCTCCAAGCGTGGTTACGAGCCCGAAGAGGACGTATGTACCCCAGGTGATGTTTTCGAGCAGCTCGGGCGTGATTTGTCCGATGATGAAGTTGTTCATCCAGTTGGAGGAGCCGCCGAGGGCTGTGCCGTAGGGGCGCGTGGATAGGGGCCAGATTTCTATGAGGCGGAACGTTAGTACAGACTCAAAAGACAAGTGTCGAGCGAGTGGAGAGACAGCTTACCGGCGATCAAAATCCAAGCACAAGGACCCCAGGAGTAACCGAAATGGATGACAAACAACCAGACCATCACAACGGCTGCCCATCCCGCCGCACGATGGTTCCCAAAGTTTTCATAGTTCTTCGCGAGAATGACGGCGATGACGAAGTGGGAGAAGGCCATGCCGAGGGCTCCGACAGCGAGCACGGGTTTACGGCCGAGCTTGTCAATGTAAAGGACTGCGGGGATGGTGGCGAGGAACATGACGATGCCGACGACGCCTGTCGCGAGGAGGGATTGCGTGGTTCCTTCGAGACCGATTTGCTCGAAGATTTGAGGCGCGTAGTAGAGAACCTGGGAAAGGGAAAGTCAGCATAAGTTTCGAATGCAGAACATCAACGAGACCCGGTATTGTACGTACGGCGTTGATACCAGTCCACTGCTGAAAGAACATAGTGACAGTCGCGACAATAACCCTCTTGAACATAGCCTTTGTCTTGAAAAGCGAAGCAATAGCAACAAACTGGAGTTTGAAGATGTTCATAGTAGTCTGCTCGCGAAGATGCGGGAAAGCCTCAGCAACACTGCGCTTTTCGAACATGGACTGGGCCTTGATTTCCAGGAATTCCAACTCGATGAGCTCGTGGTCGGCGGGGAGATTACGGAGAGAGGCCAGGTTGCTCCTCGCTTCTTCTTCGCGTCCATGGTGTACCAGCCAACGTGGGGAGAATGGCATCCATACCATTCCGATGATCAGGACGAATGCTGGGACAAGCTGAAGGCAGATGGGTACGAGCCATGCCGCGTTGGATTGGGTCTCGAGCGTAGTGCCTCCGATGTAGTTGGTGCCGTAGTTGATCCAGAAACTGATCATGATGCCGAAGGTGATGGCAAGTTGTTGCAGTGCAACCAAAGCACCACGAACCTCACTGAGACGCATTAGCATGTTGATCAAGTATTAGGATATCTCTCTTTGGATACACTTACGGGGGCGCACATTCACTGTTGTACATAGGTACGATGACAGAAAGACCACCGACTCCGATACCACTAAGATTGATTAGCAAATGTTGAAGGGTTTGGGTTGATGTTTTACTAACGTGATGAAGCGACCAGCCAGAATCTCTTCATGACCACCGGAAATCGCAGTAATTTGAACCACAACACCGATGATGAAGATTGCTGTAGCGATCAAGATACCGTACTTGCGCGACATTGCCTCAGCAACAAAACCAGACATGACGGCTCCGAACCAGGCTCCGAGTTCCAGGATAGCGGTCAACCATCCCTTCTGTGTCGGGTTGTCAACGTAGCCGTCGGTTTCTGCTCAATGTAAGCGCAAGCTGATGGTGGAAGTCGCAAGTACGTACGTGCTCCGAAAGACGGCATAGCCAGAATTCCACTGAACATGCCCTGGTTGTATCCGTACAACACACCTCCAAGACAAGCGAACAAGGCGATCAGGAAGACCTTGCCGTTCTTCACAAGAGCCCTAGGACCACTGGCGCCCATCAGAGCCTGACGCCTTTGGAGCGCGGCATCAAAGCCAGATGCACCACCGCCGCCTCCAGCCATGATGAAGCTCGATTACCGATAATCGAAACGCTTGAAGAGTTTGGCGAAAGTCTTGAACAAAAGCCGTCTGAGTATTACCCCAGATTGCCAAAAAGCTTACGGTCCTTTACTCGGAGACCCCAGGCTTATGTATGGGGGGGCCACCGAAGCCCGCACCACCATGTGCATAATCATCCAGCACCCCGGTGGCCGTACCGCAGCACTGTGGGGAAACAGGCCTCCATACTCTTTCCAGATCATCGGTAATAACAGCTGTTTAACCCCTTAAGCATACCAAGAGGAAACGGCTGCTGGGCAGCATGTTAAAGACGGCTTGAAGAGCGCCAAGCCAAGGCTTCGAGCACACTAATTGGACACGGAAACCGATGTAAGCATCCACCATTCTTGGCAGTCATGTGCCGTTCGTGCTTCATCCGCCGCTGATGTCGTTCGGTTGCTGTGGGCCGGGTGCCAAGGGCCATCCGACTAAAGCTTTAGGCTAAATTGCTGTCATCAGTGAATTCGTAGCAGCGGAGCGCCGACTTGACGAGGCTCCGAGGAATCCTTAGACGGTTGCGACGGCAGTTTCGATAGCGCGATCGACTCGTGAGAGGTACGGACCATTGTTTCCACACGTGTAGCATCATCGACTTCCAGATGTGGTGGCAACCGAATCTTAGAAATCAGGTGTGAAGGCTAAAGGCGGAACGCTGATGCACGTAGAAGGCATACCGCGCTTGGCATGGCGCTCAACTGATCGCGAACAGCCAACCCGATGTCCGAGTTGTATAGCCATTCTGACGAAAGACTGGTCGAAGCAGGAAAGTGCTTTCCGATGAACAGTAGTCATGTTTCAGGCATCGATCTCCTAGAGCTGCAGCTTACGCGGAAGCAGTTCGCATGTAGTGGCGGAAGCCTTTGGTCTGGCACGGTTGGCAGGAGCGCGATCGACCCGCATTGGAACTTCGCGGAAAATTGATGAGAAGCCCATCAAAAATTTCCGGTTGTCGAGTTTGTCCATTCGATTCGAGTTGGGCGTCGTGGGTGCCCAAGTGGAGTGATGAGAGACGGAAGCCAAGAGTGCGGCCCCATAGGTATGGGGAAAGGGCCGTGGATGCCCCACGCGCG